CCTAATAAAGTGGCCGGTGAGTGTATATATATATATATATATATACAAAAACTGTATATCCATGATATTTTGTACTGAAACGTCTCCTCTGAACAGAAAGCTGTCTGAATCTGGAGCTGCAGTTCACTCCCTTCCAGCTCTACCACACAGAGTAAGTCCAGATCAGTCTGGGTTCATGCTGGGTTTGGTTTCCATAATGACCAGGGTCGGTTCTGTTCAGGGTCATAAAACAGACTGTAGAAACAAAAAGATCTTATGATGAAAATTTAAAACATTTTCCAGATTGTGAATTTTATTCAGGTTGTAAACAGTTTCTCTGTTTGTTACGAGTGTTTCCTGTGGAAACCATTTGGTTCAGATGTTTTGACGCTGTGAGCAGCTTCTCTCAGTGTCAGGATGTTGTGTGGARGATAAATGAGGTGACTCCTCCTCTCCTCAGGGTTCAGTGTCCCRATGGAGGCATTGATACGGTGTTTCTGCTCAGCGGGCATGACCAGAGGATCCACCTGTACAAGGAGGTCAGACCTGAACCACACACTCTCTCTGTGCTCGTGTTCTTCTACAACTCTGCTCTGAAAATGTTCTCTCAAACATTCATTGATTTACAAATGTCATAAACCCATATTTTATTCTAAATGGAACAGAATAAACATAAAATGTTTAAATGAAGAGAAATAATAAAGTCATTAGCAACACATTTTTTAAACTTTTAATAGGAACACCAGAAGGTTGTAAAGTCAGTGGTATGCATCAGAAAGAGCTGGAGCCATGCTTCAACAGAATTTAAAAAAATAAAACATAAAACAGGCCTGGACAGAAATGATGGTATCCCTGAAAATAATGTGACCAAAAGGACATGTTATATCAAGATGTGTCCACTAATTATTATCACAGGTGTCTACAGTCTTCTGATCACTCAGTGGGCCTGTATATAGCAACACAGAGACTCACTGGGCTGTTTGGTGACATGGTGTGGACCACACTCAACATGGACCAGAGGAAGAGAAGGAGAGAGTTGTCTCAAGAGATTAGAAAGAAAATTATACACAAGCATGTTAAAGGTAAAGGTTATAAACATGTTAAAGGTAAAGGTTATAAGCATGTTAAAGATAAAGGTTATAAGCATGTTAAAGA